CTTGCATTCCACAACAATGCAAATTGAGTTTAATAGTCGTAACCATCTCTTTAAAAGAGACCTGTGCTCGGCAATGGAACGTACAAAGTGTTGATGATGAAGATACTGTTTCCTTTATTTAACGCTGTGTAAAGATATAATATATTGTACATAAACTGTCGTTCCTATGTGTACTATATAAATAACAGTCATTTATAACTATTTTGTTAAATATCACAAACGAATGGTCGCAAATAAGTGAAAGCAACTACATGATGTATTCGTCTCTAAGTCTGAGCCCCCTCTTTTAGCATAAGTATGTCATGACCAAAGTAGGGGGGTAAGGTACTATGCATAAATTTCGTGGAGTTAGTTTTAGCGTGTATATAATATAAGTGTGACTGGAGACTGTATCGATTGATGTACGTCTGACGGTTGTGCACAGGTTTTGTTTTTTATTTTTAAAAGTGCTTGAAAGTGACTCGAACCACATATAGTAGTAGCAGAGGTCCTTGTCCACCGTGCCTATTTCTGCCGCCAAGCAATGGTGTGAGCATTTGAAAAGTAAGGGTGCTGGTGAAATTACAGGCATATGGTACTTTTCAATTTATGTCCCAGAGTGATTGGGCGCAGTGGCAGAGCCCCTCATATCCTTGCGATTTAAAGCTCTAACGGCCACTTTCTATATTTGATCGTGAATCTAAGATTGTTTTCTATCAAGATTTTATTCGATCCATCGATCGCTGCCGGATCTGTATTTCAATATGTCTATCTCGCCTCTAGTGCCCTTAAAAAGGATCGGTCGTAAAATTACTCCCTCTCTGACGTTTAGTTCCATGCCATCGGAGTAAAAGTCCATTACATGAATAAAATGGTGGTTATGTTTCTAAGATTTATTTATTTATACATGTGATTTTGGCAAAAATATAAATTAATTGCAAAAATTTCAAGACGTAAACCGTAAGTACGTCAAGAATAATATGTTTCGAGACACAGATCGGAACGTCTATTGTCAAACGAGCGGGGCGGCCATAGAGGATGGAAAAAAATAAAGGGACAGCGGCGTGTTTTGTTAATGTTTGTTCGTATTCGTGACCTGATAAAATAATCTAAATTATAAAAATACCGTTTTGATTCGTCTTTGATAAACGGCGTTATTTCATTAAAAACAAATTCAACTGATGTTTTGTTCAGCCTAAATTTCAATGTAAATTCAGCGTCAGTTAAACTTGCCATGAAGTTTATAAGCCCAAACGTTCTTGAGGACACACAAAGCTCTTGGTCGCTGTCGCTGTTATCCCAATCCGATAACTGAGCAAATTGTTTAAGATCACAGTCATTATCACTTAAAAATAACTTACATTTTTACATGATTACACAGTACAATCGGTCAGAATTGGAGGATCGTTACTATAGATCGAACACGTTCAAAATCCGATTTGTCAAACCTATGGATCGGATATTGAAAGCGCACACTGTCACTACCATACAAATGGCAGTCTAAAAATGCCATATCTCTCTCATAGATGGATTGAAACAAAAGATTGGAATAACGATCCATCGATCGGTTATTGAAATAGTAAAAATAGGATTTGGATTGATTATTGAAGCTCAGATAGCAAATTGTGGATTGAGATTAAATATAGAAAGCGGCCGTAAGTAGCATTGCAACTGTTATGGATAGGCGTGTCGTTTACCATCAGGCACACGATTAGTTCGTCCCAAACTGCCACTACGCCCGTCACCCTGAGACGTAAGTTGACAAGTCTCAATATGTCTGTGATTTCACCAGCATTCTCATCCTTCAAAACTGGAACGCAGTAGATAGATAGATAAACACTGTATTGCTCAAACACAAGAACAAGAATAGTACATAAACAACTTAAAACTAATGTGGGCAAAGGCGGTCTTATCGCTAAGAGCGATCTCTTCCAGACAACCTTAGAGTTAGAAGAAAGCTTATCGGAGCGGGAGACGTAGTGTGCCAATTTTACAAATATAAAAATAAAAATACAAAAAAATAAAATTGTATAAGTTAAAAAAAAAATTAAATAAAGACACATAGTAATTTATAAAATATTTAAAAAATAATGATATATTATACCTACGTAGATATATGTATATATAAATATACCTAAATAAACTTATACTTACTAACTTATACTTACTAATACACATGTTGCAGACTGGGACTGTGATAAAAGATATTTACGCAATCCGGGTTTGAAAATAGGTAGCGACTTAGAATGTCGGATTTCAAATGGGAGATCGTTCCACAATTTTGCAGCCTTAATCTTAAAGGAATCTTTGTAATACTCAGAGCGAGTGAAAGGAGGCTTCAGTAGGTTACCCATTTTAGACCTTAGTTCACGGTTGTGTTCATCCCCGAGGAAGCGAAAATGAACCTTAAGGTAAGACGGAGTACGAGGGTCGTATAGAACATTAGTAATGTAGCAGTAATGACCAATTTATTGTTAAGCGGTAGAAATAGGTAAAGTATCATTATTTCCTTGGACGAACTAGTTCACAAGGAGCTCTACTGCTACTACCTTTGAGGGTTTTAAAATTTATGTGCAAAATTTAATTTGAAATTTACCATGAGCTTTTCGGTGAAGAAAACCATCGTGAAGAAATCTGCACGTCGAAAAACATTCACAACTTCAGAAAACGTGAGAAGTTTATAACCCGCATTAGGCCAGCGTGGCGGACTGTGGCCTAAGCCCTCGCATAAGACCCGTACCCAGCAGTGGAATGTGGAAAGTGGATATATAAGTGGGTTGATGTTGTTGTTCAAGTTGTTGGCTTGCACTGCGGGTGCTGGATGAGAAGGTCCCAAGTTCGATTCTCGTTAAGACCAATTTGGGAAACGAACTTTTCCGACATTGTTCTGATCTGGGTGTTTTATTATTGTAAGTATTTTCCCGTTACTTGATATTACAGGTAAATGGGTAATATCAAGTAACGGGAATAACAAATCACAAAGATCTGAGACATAGGATGGCAAGTTCCTTGGACTTGGACTTGGACTTGACAAGGACTTGTCAACTTACGTCGCAGGGTGACAGGCACAGTGGCAGTGCCCCTCAGATCTTTGCGATTTAAATCTCTGAATGGCACTGCAACTGTTATGGACAGGCACGACTTATTCGTCCCGTCACTTGATATTATAAAAAAGTCCCATATGCCCGTAAT